ACATGGAACATTCTCCAGGATTGACTACATGCTGGGCCACAAAGTGAGGCTTGGTAAATTTAAGAAAATTGAAATCATATCAAGCATCATTTCTGACCACAACACTATGACATTAGAAATCAACTACAAGTAAAAAACACAAACACATGGAGACTAAACAATATGCTACTAAACAACCAATGGATCACTGAGGAAATCAAAGAGGAAATCAAAAAATACCTAGAGACAAATGAAAACAAAAGCACAGTGAGCAAAAACCTATGGGATGCAGCAAAAGCAGTTCTAAGAGGCAGGTTTATAACAATACAATCTTACCTCAGGAAACAATAAAAATCTCAAGTAAACAACCTAACCTTACACCTAAAGCAACTAGAGAAAGAAGAACAAACAAAATCTAAAGTCAGTAGAAGGAAAGAAATCATGAAGATCAGAGAAGAAATAAATGAAATAGAGATGAAGAAAAGATAGCAGAGATCAGTGAAATTAAAAGCTGGTTCTTTGAAAAGATAGACTAAATTGATAAACCTTAAGCCAAATTCATCAAGAAAAAAAGGGAGAGGACTTAAATCAATAAGTTAGAAATGAAAAAGGAGAAGTTACAACTGACACCACAGAAATACAAGGGATTATAAGAAACTACTTGAAGGAACTATATTTCAATAAAATGGACAGCCTGAAAGAAATGGGCAAATTCTTATAAAGGTACAAACTCCCAAGACTGAACCAAGAAGAAACAGAAAATATGAACAGACCAATCACAAGTACTGAAATTGAAACTGTGATTTTTTTTTTTTGGACTGTCAACAGGAGCTTTTATTTTTTTATTTATTTTATTTTTTAAAATGTTTATTTATTTATTTATTTTCTTATTAGTCAACCATTTTATACACATCAGTGTATACATGTCAATCCCAATCTCCCAATTCATCACACCACAACCCCCACCTCCCACCGCTTCCCCCCTTGGTGTCCATACGTTTGTTCTCTACTTCTGTGTCTCAATTTCTGCTCTGCAAACCAGTTCATCTGTACCATTTTCTAGGTTCTACATATATGCATTAATATATGATATATGTTTTTCTCTTTCTGACTTACTTCACTCTGTATGACAGTCTCTAGATGTCTCTAAGGAGACAAAACCCTGTACTCTGAAAACTATAAGATGCTGATGAAAGAAAACGAAGACTACACAAGCAGATGGAAAGATATATCATGTTCTTGGATTGGAAGAATCAATATTGTCAAAATAACTGTACTACCCAATGCAATTTACAGATTCAATGAAATCCCTATCAAATTACCAATGGCATTTTTCACAGAACTAGAGCAAAAAACTTAAAATTTGTATGGAGACACAAAAGACCCTGAATAACCAAAGCAATCTTGAGAAAGAAAAACGGAGGTGGAGGAATCAGGCTCCCTGACTTCAGACCATACTACAAAGCTATAGTCATCAAAACAGTATGGTACTGGCACAAAAACAGAAATGTAGATCAATGGAACAGGATAGAAAGCCCAGAAAGAAACCCGCACACCTATGGTCAATTAATCTACAACAAAGGAGGTAAGATGAAACAATGGAGGAAAGACAGTCTCAGTAAATGGTGCTGGCAAAACTGGACAGCAACAAGTAAAAAAATGAAATTAGAACACTCTCTAACACCATACACAAAAATAAACTCCAAATGAATTAAAGACCTAAGTGTAAGACAGGACAATATAAAACTCTTAGAGGAAAACATAGGCAGAACACTCTCTGAATAAATTGCAGCAATATCTTTTTCCATCCATCTTCCAGAGTAATGGAAATAAAAACAATAATAAACAAATGGGACCTAATTAAACTCAAAAGCTTTTTCACAGCGAAGGAAACCATAAACAAGACGAAAAGACAACCTGCAGAATGGGAGAAAATATTTGCAAACAACGTGACCTACAACAGGTTAGTCTCCAAAATTTACAAACAGCTCATGCAGCTTAATATAAAAACAAACAACCCAATCAAAAAATGAGCAGAAGACCTAAATAGACATTTCTCCAAAGAAGACATACAGATGGCCAGGAGGCACATGAAAAGACATTCAGCATTGATCATTTAAACAAATGCAAATCAAAACTGCAATGAGAAATCACCCCACACCAGTCAGAATTGCTAGCATCAAAAAACCCAGAAACAATAAATGCTGAAGAGCGCTGGAGAGAGGGAGCCCTGCTGGTGGGAATGTAAATTGGTATAGCCACTGTGGAGAACAGTATGGAGGTTCCATAAAAAACTAAAAATGGAGTTGTCATATGATCCTGCAATCCATCTCCTGGGCATATATCTGGAGAAAAACATGGTCCAAAAGGATACATGCACCCCAGTGTTCATTGCAGCACTGTTTATAATAGCCAAGACATGGAAGCAACCTAAATGTCCATCAACAGATGAATGGATAAAGAAGATGTGACACATGTATACAATGGAATATTACTCAGCCATTAAAAAGAATGAAATAATGCCATTTGCAGCAACATGGATGAACCTAGAGATTGTCATAATGAATGAAGTAGAGCAGACAAAGACAAATATCATATGATATCGCTTATATGTGGAATCTAAAAAAAAATGATACAAATGAACTTATTTACAAAACAGAAACAGACTCTCAGAGTTAGAGAAGGAACTTTTGGTTACCAGAGGGGGGTGGTGGGAGGGATAGTTAGGGAGTTTGGGATTGATTGATTGTTAAAATGGATAACCGGGCTTCCCTGGTGGTGCAGTAGTTAAGAATCTGCCTGCCAATGTGGATTGGGGACATGGGTTTGAGCCCTGGTCCAGGAAGATCCCACATGCCGCAGAGCAACTAAGTCCATGCACCACAACTACTGAGCCTATGCTCTAGAGCCCGCAAGCCACAACTACTGAAGCCCTCACGCCTAGAGCCCATGCTCCGCAACAAGAGAAGCCACTGCAACATGAAGCCCGTGCACCGCAATGAAGAGTAGCCCCCACTTGCCACAACTAGAGAAAGCCTGTGCACAGTAACAAAGACCCAACTCAGCCAAATAAATTTTAAAAAAATAAATGGATAACCAACTGGGACCTACTGTACAGCACAGGGAACTCTGCTCAATATTATGTAACTACCTAAATGGGAGAAGAATTTGAGAAAGAATAGATACATGTATACGTATAACTGAATCACTTTGCTGTACACCTGGAACTAACACAACATTGTTAATAAACTATACTCCAATATAAAATAAAAAGTTAAAATAAAATTTATATGGAACCACAAAACTCCCTGAATTCCCAAAGCAATCCTGAGAAAAAAGAAGAAAGCTGGAGGCATAACACTTCCAGACTTCAGATAATACTATATAGTAATCAAAACAGCATGGTATTGGCACAAAAACAGACATATGGACAAATGGAACAGAATAGAGAGTCCAGAAATAAACCCACACACCTACAGTCAATTAATTTACAACAAAGGAGGCAAGAATATACATGAAGAAAAGATAGTCTCTTCAGCAGGTGGTTTTGGGAAAAATGGACAGCCACATATAAAACAATGACATTAGAACATTCCTTCACACCATATACAAAAACTCAAAATGGTTTAAAGACCTAACTGTAAAACCAGAAACCATAAAACTCCTAGAAGAGAAGATTTGCAGAACACACTTAGATAAAATCATAGCAATATTTTCTTGGATCATTCTCCTAAGGCAAAAGAAATAAAAGCAAAAAACACCCCAACTGGGACCTACTTAAACTTAAAAGCTTTCACACAACAAAAGAAACCATCAACAAAACAGAAAGGCAACCTACAGAATGGGAGAAAATATTTGCAAATGGTATGAAGAATAGGGGTAATAATCATAATATGTAATCAGCACATACAGCTCAATATCAAAAAAAAAAATCCAATTTAAAAATGGGCAGAAGACCTGAATAGACATTTTTCCAAAGAAGACATACAGGTGGCTAACTAGCACATGAAAAGATGTTCAGCATTGCTAGTCATTAGAGAAATACAAATCAAAACTATGAGATATTACCTCACATCTGTCAGAATAACTATCATCAAAAAGTCTACAAGTAACAAACATCGACAAGGATATGGAGAAAAGGGAACCCTCATACACTGTTGGTGGGAGTGTAAATTGGTGCAGCAAATGTGGAAAACAGTATGGAGCTTCCTCAAAAAACTAAAAATAGAACTATTATATGATCCAGCAATTCCACTGCTGGGTATATATCCAAAGAAAATGAAAACACAAATCAGAAAGATATATTAACCCCAATGTTTATAGTAGCATTATTTACAGTTGCCAAGATACTGAAGCAATCTAAGTATCCATCAACAGATGAATGGATAAAGAAGATGTGGTATGTATATATACAATGGAATATTACTCAGCTGTAAAAAAGAATGAAATTCTGCCATTTGCAACAATGTGAATGGACCTAGAGAGTATTATGCTTAGTGAAAAAGTCAGACAAAGACAAATACTCTATGTTATCATAGAGTATCTAAAAGCTAAAACAAATGAATGTATATAATAAAACAGAAACAGTCCTACAGATATAGAGAACAAGCTAGTGGTTACCAGTGGAGAGTGGGAAAAGGAGAGGGACAAGATAGGAATAAGGGATTAAGAGATACAAACTACTATGAATAAAATAGATAAGCAACAAGGATATTGTACAGCACAGGGAAATATAGTCATTGTTTTGTAATAACATCAAATGGAGTATAATCTTTAAAAATAATGAAAATTACATAATATTGTAAATCAACTATACTTCAATAAAAAAGAAACAAATTGGAACATTAGGCTATCAATATAGGTGTCAATTTTAATTTTTATTATAGTTATTTTGATATCAAATATCATTTTCATTATTTCCTTTATACTTTCTATTTGATTTTCATTGAGTTCTAGTGACAATTTCATAATGGAGTATATAAAGTAATTTAAAATATACTCCTTTGCTTATTCTCTTTTAGGACTTTTGCATGGCTTGGAAACAGGAATCAGAATTTACAAAGAGAGATAGAGCTGCCAGAGTCATTCAGAAGGCCTGGAAAAGTTTCCTTGTGAGTTTATTTCAGTTTTTTGCAGCTTTATTGAGATGTAATTGATACATCATATAGTTCACCTGTTTAAAGTATACAATTCAGGGACTTCCTTGGTGGTCCAGTGGTTAAGACTTCACCTTGCAATGCAGGGGGTGCGGGTTTGATCCCTGGCTGGGGAACTAAGATCCCACATGCCTTGTGGCCAAAAAACCAAAACATGGAACAGAAGCAATACTGTAACAAATTCAATAAAGACTTTAACAAATAATAAAGTATACAATTCAATAGCTTTTAGTACATTAAAGGGTTGTATACCACTCTTTTCTTTATAAGTAGACATATTTTAAGTTTCAAAAAGTTAACTTTAATTAATTATCTTATTAACCTCACTAATATTTATTGAGTTTCTGATCTGGGCCAGGCACTTTGATAATGGCTACTATGAGCAAAAGTATCACTAATTGGCTTATTTGGCTTTCACCTCTAAAAATTTTATATCTTGACTCTGGAATCGGGTTTGTGAGCAAGTGTTAGGGATACATTCACTCATTTAATATTTATTCAGTACCTACTCTTGAGGACGTAAGGTATGTCTGGATTAATGTAGTAGTTTCTCACCATGCTCTGATCTGGGTAGAATTAGTCTCCTTATCCAATAAGGAATATTCCAATTTGATTTACTGGGTTAGGTGAGAGCCAAGAGGTGAAATGACTTCTCTCTTTTCTCTAGGATAGCATCAACACTCTGTGTGTGAAGTGGTATGGCTCTCTTTCTATCACACAAAAATACCTTTATATCAGTTAATGATGTCTTGAAAAATAATTTCCATTATTTACCTATGCTGGGGCACAACTATTGATTTCCAACACTAAAAAAAGAGAATTTCCTTTAAAATCTACTACTCCTTTTTTTGTTTCTTTTTTTTTTTTTTTTTGTGGTACGCGGGCCTCTCACTGTTGTGGCCTCTCCCGTTGCGGAGCACAGGCTCCGGATGCACAGGCTCAGCGGCCATGGCTCACGGGCCCAGCCGCTCCGCGGCATGTGGGATCCTCCCAGACTGGGGCACGAACCCGCGTCCCCTGCATCGGCAGGTGGACTCTCAACCACTGCGCCACCAGGGAAGCCCCTTTTTTTGTTTCTAATAGCATACTTGTCATCTAGGCTTAAGCTTTTCTGTCATTTTTAATTCTTCTCCCCCACATTCAAATCCAATCAGCCTTTGAACACCTGTTATGTTCCTGACACTGTGCTAGGCATTTTACAATACATCCTTGTGTTTAAGGAGCTTCAGTAGAGAAGCCATGTACATAAACAAACGTGTGTGTGTGTATTTTAACAAGATGGTAGACTGAGCACACATTTTCACTTTCTATCCCTCTAGAACCCAACTGAAGTGATGATGTATAGAAAGTTAACCCATAACAGAGAGAAGGGAGTTCATGAGCAAATAGGAAATTTTATCTCATACCAAAAATAAATGATAGTATCCTGTTGGACATATCTGTGTAGAAGACTTGCCTATACATACCTTAAAGGGGCACTAGTGAGATAGCTCATTTGTCATTGGAACCCTAGAAAGGATGTCAATTAGGATTTAGCAGTTTAAAAAGGCTAAAAGGAGAATGACTATAGACAATAGGGTTAATTGAAGGTCTGTACATGGAACAGCTGTGCCAGTTGTCTCCACTGTCACTTCAAGACCCAAAGCTATAGGCAGGTGGATATTTATCATTAGTCAAAAATCTACTGGTAGATGGATACTTACCATTGTGCATAAGAGAAACAAACCCAGAGTAGCCCACAGCTTTGGAAAGATGGCAGAGGTAGAGCCAAGAAAAAAGATCCCTTTGGTTCCAGAAAATCTCCTGAAAAAGAAGAAGGCTTATCAGGTCCTCAAAGCCACCCAGGCAAAGCAGGCACTTTTGCAAAGGAAGGAGCAGAGGAAAGGAGAAAAACTCAAGTTTAAGCAACTAGAATGGTTCCTACATGAGTCCTGGCGGCAACTACGTGACAGGGTGTGACTCAGACAATGAGAAGTGAAACCTCGTGGCTTGGAAGTGCCAGATAAACACTCCTTGGCCTTTGTTGTACACATCCAAATGATTAATGGGGTGAGTTTACTGGTGCAGAGGACCACTGCAAGACTTGGCCTGAATAAGATTTTCAGTGGTGTCTTTATGAAAGTAACCCCTTAAACCATTAAAACACTTCATATAGTGGAACCTTATGTGACCTGGGGATTTGCAAATCTGAAGTTTGTTCAGGAGCTCATCTTTAAATGTGGACAAGCCAAGGTCAAGAATAAAATCGTCACACTGACAGACAACACAGTGATTGAGGAGCACCTGGGGAAATTTGGTGTCATTTGCTTGGAAGACCTCATTCATGGAGTTGCCTTCCCAGGGAAGGATTTTCAGGTGATCTCAGGGTTCTTGTGCCCTTTGCAACTCTCAGTAGCCTATTGTGCTACCAAGAATAGAGGGGGCTTCCTCAAGGAAGTGGGCTCACCTGGCTATCAAGGTGAATGCATCAATCAACTCATCTGGCAGCTGAATTAAACCCAGAATATCTGAAAGCACAGTGCATTGGAAACATGTGTTTTTGTTTTATGGAATTGTTACCCATTATCTTCAAGGAAGATTATTTTCTGCTTTATCTTCAGAAACTGGAAGTAAAAGGTCAGGAAAAAGATGATGATGTTCACAGCAGGCACTTTTCATCCCACCTCAGTTCCAAGGAAAATTTCCTGTATGTTTTCTGTGATGACCACTATCCACCACTGAAACCTGCAAAGATTCACTCCATGGATAAAGGAGTCCTGTTTTATCACATCTTCTATCCTGGGGTTTAATGTTGGTGAATGAATACCCAAGCATGAATACAAGACAGCAGTGAACCAAGCTCAGGGCCTTGTTTTGGAAAGAACTTGAAATACAATTGGAAAGAAGCACACAAAAACAATGCTCTCTGCTGTCAGTCCATGTTCTAACTTCAGTGACAGCTTGGCAAGCTCTCAGATGTGGCTGTCTCTAGGTGTATCTGGTAACTTCTTTATTCTTGCCTGCAATTGGCTTAGTTCTTTTCTCTAGCTCAGAATTTTAACCTACTCTTGGATCTATTCGACAGATGGACCCTTTCCCTAGCCAAATGGAGTGTTTCCTGTTAAGAACATGGTGGTAGATTGCTGAGCCCCTGTGCCATTTATGACTCAGGGAAATGCCCACCATTTATTTCTGCTGGGCTTCAAGATGGAATTTTCTGGTTTCCCTGATGATCAGTCCTCTTTTTAAAACCCAAATCAGAAGCTGAAAAAGAATGGATATATGTATATGTATAACTGATCCACTTTGCTGTACACCTGAAACTAACACAACATTGTAAATCAACTATAACACAACATAAATAAAAATTAAAAAAACAAAACAAGGAACTTCCCTGGCAGCCCAGTGGTTAAGACTCTGCCCTTCCAATGCAGGGGGTGCAGGTTCAATCCCTGGTCAGAGAACTAAGATCTCATATGCTGTGCAGTAGCACAGCATCCCCCACCCCACCCCACCCCCACCCCCAAAAAAGAAAAGAAACAAACCCTGAAGGATTATCTCTTTAAAAAATTTACATGAACCATCTGGGAAAGCTAGTTCTAGCATGGATTTGGTACTCCACAGTAAAACCCTCTTAATTTTAGTATTTGAGAGATGGCTTACTTAATTGCTGGCTACCTGACCATACTTCCTCTAAGAAAGTCTGTTCACTAACTTATTCCACCCACTTCACAAAGCTCCAAGGCAATCTTCCCATTCATGAGTGTGAACAGTGGAAAACCAGAGACTTACAGAAAAGCACAGGATACTTACACTAGCTCCCTAGAAAAACTGACACAGACCTTCATTTGTCACTACTAATGGACAATCACCTGACATTTAAGGAAAACCAATGACGTAGAAACAGAAAGAAAAGAAAAAGAAATAACAGAATCTGAAGGAATCAATTTAGCTTAGATCAGTATGTTGAATGGCTCTAGGAAGGTTGTATCTGGAGACTAAATAGTACTCCATGCAATAGAAGATATGACTGAGAAGTTGGATTTAAAAAGACGTTAGAGGGCTTCCCTGGTGGCACAGTGGTTGAGTCCACCTGCCGATGCAGGGGACACGGGTTCGCGCCCCAGTCCGGGAAGATCCCACATACCGTGGAGCGGCTGGGCCCATGAGCCATGGCCGCTGAGCCTGCATGTCCGGAGCCTGTGCTCTGCAACGGGAAAGGCCACAACAGTGAGAGGCCTGCGTTCCTCAAAAAAAAAAAAAAACTAGCAGATTTTCAAGACCCTTGTAAATTGTCAGGCAGCACACCAAACTGTAAGGACCCTCAAACTTTGCAGAGAAGTGGTAGATGTTTTTTGAAAATTTTTGTTGAAGTGTGGTTGATTTACGATGTTGTTTTGGTTTTGGGTGTATAGCAAAGTTTTTCAGTTATATAAACATATCCTTTTCCATTATAGTTTATTACAAGATATTTAGTATAGTTCCCTATGCTATACAGTAGGTCCTTGTTGGTTATCTATTTTATCTAGAGTAGTGTGTGTATCAGTTAATCCCAAACTCTTAATTTATCCCTCCCCCCACTTCCCCTTTGGTAATCATAAGTTTGTTTTCTATGTCTTTGAGTCTGTTTTTGTTTGATAACTACATTCATTTGTATCTTTTTTTTTTAGATTCCACAAAAAAATTAATAGATAAAATAAAAAGAGTTTAGAAACTCTGAAAAACAACTAACCATGAAAGTCATGGTTCAAATATAAGGCAAATTAATATATTTCTAACCTCTATGTAAAAAGAATACATTTGATTTTTTTTAACATCTTTATTGGAGTATAATTGCTTTACAATGTTGTTAGTTTCTGCTGTATAGCAAAGTGATTCAGCTATACGTATACATATATCCCCATATCCCCTCCCTCTTGCATATCCCTCCCACCCTCCCTATCCCACCCCCCCATCCCACCCCTCTAGGTGGTCAC